AATGTTATTGTATTTAATTATTTCATTTTTTTGATGTCCTTGTCATTGCTTATATGATTCATCACTTGTGATGACCACTTAGCCACTGCTATAGTAGTGGCCATAGTATATTGGTTGGCCCTCACTAGCACATTGGTTTATTTCTATTTATAAAACACTCTCCAGTCATATGCCAGCATATCGCTGTTGTCGGAAGAAAACCTCGTATCTCCAAAATGGTAACTTTACAGGAGAAGGAAAAAGCCTTCTTTACTTTTAATGTAAGTCAATGGAACCAGATTTACACACAATGTAAAGAACAACAGGCATATTCAAATTATTTCAAAAACAGAAAAATGACAAAAATGGAGATACGAGGTTTTCTTCCGACAACAGCGATATATTACTTCAGTGATGTCTACAAATAATGATAATTATCAGACTCGCTCCAGTGGTTGGATCACATGCCATGTACCAAAGGTTTTTACTGCACTGGGAAAATCTGCCTTTAGTTACAGTGAACCAGCTGAGCCTTAGTGTTTCCGGTAGGGAGTTCCAGCTCGCTGGTGTCACTCAGTCATTGTAAACTTTTACTGTCTAAACACCTCCACTCTGCCTGCAACTGATTTACTTGATTTTCACTATTATTGTCTTATTTTCATTATTGTAGTTATTTTATTTTTTCACATTAATTTATTTGTTTATTTATTATTATTCACATTCTTATTATTGTTTTAATTAGGATGTTTTAATATTATTTCAGTTATTTGAATTCATTTTAGTTTCCTTTTTTGATCTTATCCTCCTTTTGTTTTATTTGTCTTCTTTTGATTTTATTAACTTTTACATTTTAGTAATGCTTAGTAGTAATTATTATAAGTAGTAATTATTATTATTAGTGATTATTGTAATATATTATTTACTGTTTATTATGTATTTTTATTATTAATGTTTCTTTTTTATACTTACCTGATTTGAGTCATTTTTATTATTAAATTTTCTTTATTATTTGATATGTGTTTACACATTATCAATTCCTGGACAACATTGTAAATGAGGGTCAACCTCATTGTTCTCTGAGGTTAAATAAAGATTGATTATTGGTTGATAGTTTAGCAAATGCTAATTTTTACATGATATGTAGGTCAAATTCCTGCTTGTGTTAGCCACAAACACTGGCACCTCTCAACTGAATGTAAATTTATCTCCATAATCCAATTTTCAATGTAACACTGAGTGATGGCAAAATTATCACATCATGACACTGATATTTTCACAGCATAAAATATATATCACAATATTTTGACACACCGACACAGTCACATTTAAAATCAGCCATCAAAGATTTTTATTAAACGTTTCACATGTTGTACTGGCCTAAATCCAGTTAAGCATGGCGAATTAGCCAATGTTCGCTTTTTAATTAAACATTCAGTTGGTTAAAGTTCATTAAGTGCTCCCGAAAAAGCATAGTGTGAAAAATGCCTCTAATTCAAAGTTTGACTTCTAATGCAGTGTTTACTTGTTGGTGTTGGGGAAAAAATCGTCTTAGAGATTCTGTGCCTCCTCGCACGACTGATGGGGGCATACAGCTGTGAAAATGCCGTGCTGACATCAGCACTGGTGAAAATGGTTGATTATCAGAGCAGAGTTTAGCAGTGTTGCTTGGTTAAGGTGGGAACTGGTAGTGGGACACTCTGTACTCTTATTTTTGTGTTGTACGTGTGATATTGGGTACAATGAGACGTTCACATCCTTGGCTCCCAAATAAATCAGCATCCAGTTTATTTCACTGCTGCAGTTGATGGTAAAAGTTATGAAAACTAAACCCTTGACAGGACATTCCACTGACCACTGCGGTACACTGCAGATATTGCTGCCGGTGGTGGAATCTTCTGCTGCTGTCCCAGTGGAAACAATAGAATATCCGGCCTGCCATTGACCGTCTTAATGTAAACACAGCACTAGTGTTACAGTTACGGTTAGTGTTTACACTGTCATGGCTGCACTGCTGTTAGTCCTCATACATTCTGAACCTCCACATAGTACTGATCAGGCAGAGCAGCTGTGTTTTTATAGCGCTTAACTTTGAATTGTGATTGTTAACACTTTTTTAAATATAATTTATATTAAGTCACCTATTATTAGTATCTTGTATATATTTCTAATATATGCCCGGTGGAGTTTACAGACCTTTTAAAAACATTTTAGATGTGCGAAGTCTTCAGAGGGTGTGTATGTACAGTGGTATGCAGTGGTATAAGTTTGCGCGTCCCTGGTTAAATAGCATATTTCGGTGATTTTTTCAGTGAAAAAGTTAACACATCCTCTACAGAGAACACACTTCTGCACATTTTAAAGCACAGTTACTGTTTATTGGCTCACTTTAACATTTTGAGGTAGAAAAATATAAAATGTGGCTTGTGCAAAAGTGATGGCACACACTATTTTATGTTGTAGTCTTTTTCCAGTATGACAAACTCAGCAAATAAATAGAGTTTGTGCACTAAAAATTCAGACAAATGAAAATATTTAGGTTTCTTCCCCGTAGAGGATGTGGTAACTTACCACTGAGGGTGTTCAGACCTATTGGCATACGACTGTAAATGTGCAAATTTTGTGGTTTTGTGTGTGGTTGCGCACTGTTTACATGTGCAGAAAGCATGAATAGTAGTGGTCAGTGGAATCAGTGAGGTTTTGATTTGGCTTGATTGTTCAGTCTAAATTTTATTTGGTTATTGATTTGGTGAAAATGTAATTTAATGAATGGAAAATGACTTTATGTGCAATAGGGCTCAACCTGATAGTGATATAGGAGTGGATGGCCATGCAGTACGAATGAGCAGCTTCAGTGTGTCATGACTCAGTGTGTGTGTGTGTGGGTGTGTGATTAAACTGAATGAGCGTGTCTGGCTGGGTTTGTTTGGCTCTTTCCCATCAGGCACGAATCATTATAACAATGTGTAATCTGTGGCTATTTATAGATCAAGCCCTTTGGCATTCACACTATGCCAGTTAATTTTGTTGTGTCTAATGATTTTTTCCTCTCCTCTCTTCAATTTTTCCCTTTCACAGACACTGCTGCTTTGGAGTCACAGGTTTTTAACACTGTTGTTTCGTCTTTGTGTGTGTGTGTGTGTGTGTTCACCCATGCATGCTATGTATGTGGGTGTATATGTAGTACATATATACTGTTCTGCATTTTACTTAGAGGTTATGGTTTGTCAGTTGCATCTTTTGCATTATGCTCCTGTTGTTACTCCTGGTGTTTGAGCAGAAGGGTCAGCAGCACTCAGATTTATTCATAATGTATCTGGGTGCTTCTTGTCTTTCTTCTCTAGAGAATCCAGTTGTCTTCACATCATTATATTGATCAGTATGTACATCATCCCTGCCTGAATAAAACCTTGTATCTCCATTTGAAAATGCGAGCTGCCCTTTAAAATGTGTTCAGATTTCATAGTGAATAGACGAGCAGAAATGTGCTAAAAGTATGTTAACATTGTTGTTCCGTTAACTTTCTCTAAAAATTAAGGATAATTTTTTTTCTTGTGGTAAAGTTACCATTTTGGAGATACAAGATTTTGTCATGACACGACAATAAATGTATATATGTATGTCCTTTTGTTCATACATATTTCTGTTTTCTTAGAGTAGTAGCAACTAGGATGCATCTGATTATTATTATTATTATTATTATTATTATTATTTTTATTATTATTATCATCGCTAGGGTTGTTAATGATTCAAAAAATGTATTATGCGATTCAATTTGATACATTTTTAAATACAGTAAAAACAAGGCTGAATGTGTGCCTTACGTTAACATGTTAATGTTTCCATTTTTTCAGTTTATTTGACCATTTACATCATAAAAGTACAATATTTAAAACAAAAGAACTTCATGGTGTCCCAGTCTAATGCTCTGTCTGCAAGCTGATATAGCAATACTGTAACATACAGTATGATACGCTGCTACAATACAATTTGTATTAGTAGTAGTGGTACTACTTGTAGTAGCATAAGTAGTAGTAATAGTAACATTTTATTAGTAGTAATAGAAATGCTTAACATATAAAAGACGTTCGATTTTATGTGTCTCACATTCTATAACTGATGCAGTGAGCGTTTCATAACAGATAGACGTCAGAGGACAGACTCTAGCTTTAAGCCCCATATGTCTTACACGCACGCCATGGCCCTAAGTTACAGACACCAGCCTCTGTAAATCACAGTGACATTAACTAATTCCTACGCCGTCCCCATGGTCGTTCCTCCGTGCAGTGCGTGTGTGTGTGTGTGTGTGTGTGGGCCGCCCAGACGTGTCGAAGTCGTCCTGACTTGACCCCACCTCCTGTGGCCAAACTTTGTTTGATTTGTTTCTGTTTGAGCATGATGCGGTGATGTGATTGATTGATTGATTGCTTGATCTTTGTGCTCTATCGAGTGTATATGTATTCATGAGAACTGCATCAAAAGTGCATTTACTGCAACATTTGCATGTTATGCAAATTTGTGAATTTCTACATAAATAAAATGTAACAACATAGTTTTGCCTTTTCAGTTACTTATGTTTGGCAGTAATTGTACTGACGTAATATATTTCATTTATGTGCAAATGATGAAAACATTTGGATCAAGTAATTTCAATACATGCACTTTTTCCAGTTTATTTTGATGGTCCACTGTAGTTGCTTTGTATATGAAATATATGTTGTCACTGGTGAAAGATTTAAGTTAACGTCACACTTTATTCAGAGCCCAAATTGGAGATACAGGGTTTTGTTACTAAGGCGACAATATGTCCTCCACATTCTTTTGAAAATCAACTGTCATCAGGTAGTTTTTTAGCATGTGAGCATTTTTGAATAACATTTAGGTGACCATCAAAATAAAGTGTAACTAAATATCCTAATGAATACCATCACATGGGTTCTTTGGTGCATGTGGACTGTGATGGTGAGATCAGCATGTGTCCTCAGTTCTAAAGTGCTAAAGTGTCCCTTGTCTTATGTGTGTAGGGTCGTGGAAGCATCCTGGACCCTGTCAAGCTAGGCCTGAGTGGAGGAGGGTGAGTAGATAGATCTGTGTGATCTTAATGGTGATCTGATCTTTCTTGTCTTGAGGTCGTGCTGGTGTGTTTTTCTCTTTATGGTAGGATTGCGTATAAAAATTGCTTAATGCTTTAGATTAGAAAGAAAAAAAAAGGTACAAATTGGGGCGGTACTTGTCACTGGGGTGGTACCCTCAAGGGAACATCTCAGTACCTTTAGTCAGGGAACATAATAAAGCAGCCAAAACCTTAACTGCTGTATGGTTAGCATCAGTGCTGTAGTTTAGCAAAAAATCTAATTTACACCATTTTTCTTATATTCCACACATAGTCAGTCAGCCAAGACAAGTTTGATTTGTTGTTAAGTAACCTTGAATGGACTTGTTTATTTTTCTGATTGGACTGATACTGTAAGTGCGATTTGCAAATTGCAGTTATTTTCTATAAATTAAGGGTTTTTTTGGCCAAGAAGACCAGAATATCTGCTTTCTGGTTGCTTGTGATTGGTGTAACTCAGCGGTCACCAACCCTGACCCTGGAGATCTACCTGCCTGTGGAATCTAGTTCCAGCCACAATCTACTGCACCTGCTCCAGCTCATTAACGTCTTCAGATGTCCTTGGTTGGCTGGATCAGAAGCATTAACGTTTGGTAGCAAGAGGGGAGCATATTAGATTGGAGCAAAACTCCTCAAAAAAGTACATCTCAAGGAGAAGGATTGCTGACTCTTGGTCAGTAACTCATCTACAGAGTAGCAGCCATCTTGAAGCCCGAATTTTGTACATAGGTTTGTCCATTAACCATTTGTCCTTTAACTAACCATGTAGCTCTAGTGTAAAGCTGCAGAAGCAAACCAAACTTATCTTGGCTTATTGGCCAATTTTGGAAACGGGGGATATTATGTACATTTGATTTTACGTCCACTGTTGCTTTACAACTCTATAGATGCTAATGCATTAGTAACATGTTGTGATGTCACTGTCCTGTTCCAGTTCCAGTATCTATGAGGCCTTAAATGCATTACATAATGACTCAATCCCTTATAGAATCTACTTATAGGGCTTTAATATTAAGGGTTTCCATAGTGTTCTTAGTGTCTGCGGGGCGTTAATGCTTCAGAAGGCATTTCTTGTTAGCGGCATCAGAGGGGCTAGATGACTGTGTCATGCTGCTTAAATGTGTGTACGTATTTACGTGTGTGTGTGTGTGTATGTGTAAGTGTGTGTGTAAAAGACCTTACACTGCGTGAGGAGATGGTGATGGGATTTTAAGGGCTTAATTGGGCTACGATACTTCACTGCTCATGTGTGTCCCATTGGTAAGGCGCAGTGTAGAGTGTGTGGCTGTGAGAGAGACTTATAGGTGACCTGAAGTGGCCTGTACTGCTACAGTGACAGCTCGGGGTCCTCTGTTACCTCAGTGCGAGGCAATGCCAGAAAGGCCCTCTGAGTCCCATTTATCACTGACACACTCACACCACGCTACATTTTTCACTATGCTCTTAAGGGTGGGAGTTAGGAGTACTTCACTTATTAATTTATTTACAGAAACTATAAAATAGACCTGGAAATCACTTTCAGGAGAGAAGCTCACCTTTATCAGACAAAGGTACAATATGAAAATTTGAATGAAAAAAGCAATAGGTTAACGCAAATGATTCACAGCTTAAGAGATGCTGATCAAACCTATCTTAGAACCGTCTAGGTGTGGGCCATGCAGGAACAGTTGTAGACCACACTGTGTTCATAGCTTACTAAAAAATCCAGCTTTTCTGTGGTGATGCCTTAAAGAAAGTTATATTCACTTTACTGCTGCATGTGCATGCAGGGAATATACACACACGCAGCATTGTCTGGTTTGACAGACAGCCAGATAAACGAATAAGCAGACAAACAAAGCAAAAACAGACTCACAGATGCTCACTTTGATAGCACAGTTATTTGTCCTAGGTTAGCTTTTGCTTGGTTGTTAGCTTTTGCTCAGTTTATCTGAACTTGAACAGAGAGAGACTGTGGCAGACGCATAGGTTTATTCAAGCTGTGTGGGCAGCACAAGCCACAAAAGCCTTGTGATGGGTCAAGGTAAAGCTTACGTAAGCATTACCCAATATTATGACCACCCAGTTTACATATAAAGGGGAATTTTTGGCTAAATCAATTTACTGGACACTGGAACATTATTCTTAGGGCATACCTTATACTTGTATATTGTGCACCCACATGAGCAAGATTAACCTAATTAGAATGAAAAAGCGTTTTGGGTTCCCTGTGGCTTTAAAATTAATATATATTAATGTAATGAGATTTTAAGTCTTTTAGTATTTCTATTAATTCATTTATCAAGTAATGTTCACATATAGGGCTACTGGCATCAATCATACTTTCCTGTAAACATTCACTTTATTCACACTGCTTTCCTGAAAACATTCACTTTATTCACACTGCTTTCCTGAGAACGTTCACTTTATTCACACTGCTTTCCTGAAAACATTCACTTTATTCACACTGCTTTCCTGAGAACATTCACTTTATTCACACTGCTTTACTGTAAAACATTCACTTTATTCACACTGCTTTACTGTAAAACATTCACTTTATTCACACTGCTTTACTGTAAAACATTCACTTTATTCACACTGCTTTCCTGAGAACATTCACTGTGTTCACACTGCTTTCCTGAAAACATTCACTTTATTCACACTGCTTTCCTGAGAACATTCACTTTATTCACACTGCTTTACTGTAAAACATTCACTTTATTCACACTGCTTTCCTGAAAACATTCACTTTATTCACACTGCTTTACTGTAAAACATTCACTTTATTCACACTGCTTTCCTGAGAACATTCACTTTATTCACACTGCTTTACTGTAAAACATTCACTTTATTCACACTGCTTTACTGTAAAACATTCTCTTTATTCACACTGCTTTACTGTAAAACATTCACTTTATTCACACTGCTTTACTGTAAAACATTCACTTTATTCACACTGCTTTCCTGAAAACATTCACTGTGTTCACACTGCTTTCCTGAGAACATTCACTGTGTTCACACTGCTTTCCTGAGAACATTCACTGTGTTCACACTGCTTTCCTGAAAACATTCTCTTTATTCACACTGCTTTCCTGAAAACATTCTCTTTATTCACACTGCTTTACTGTAAAACATTCACTTTATTCACACTGCTTTACTGTAAAACATTCTCTTTATTCACACTGCTTTACTGTAAAACATTCACTTTATTCACACTGCTTTACTGTAAAACATTCACTTTATTCACACTGCCTTCCTGAGAACATTCTCTTTATTCACACTGCCTTCCTTTCAGTTAAATGCAAATGTATTTCATTAGGCGCTGTTTTATGAATTGTACAACACAGGCAGGTGAATGATTGATCTTTTCAGCGTGACTCTGCGGAAGCCTTACTAAGAGCTGGATGAAACACTGCCTTCTCTCTTCTATATTTTAAAGTGCATAAGCACCAGCCTATGGAAAAAACTCAGCACTGAAAACACGTGGATCTCTTTGTTATCTGTTCACAATTGCAAAAGTTGTAATTACGAAGTATCAGTACTTAAGTGCTTTTTAGAAGCATGATTAGCTACTTAGTGAGCTTGACTCATTTGATAAAAATGCTTAGAATTTGCTTTAAAATATATTACATGAATACAGTCTTCACTGCTGATGGAACAAAACTTCATATCTCCAAAAAGGTAAGTCTACAGGACAAGGAAAAACACATTCTCAACTTTGAATGACAGAGAATGGATGGATAAATAAATAAATAAATGAATAAATAAAGGAATGAATGAATGATAAGTAATTTTGGAGCATTTCTTTTGACCCGTTCATCATGAAATTTTGACACATCATAAAGCACCACTAACCTTTTCAATATACAGAGTGGTTCAAAAAGATTCAATCGATTTCAAAATGATTTATTTCACTTATAAATCATTACAGATCAATGCAGTGAACTGTAAATGGTTTAAGTGATCATAAAGTTTATTATGTAATTGTACAAGGTCTCAGTATGAACCTCCTCCAGCTGTACAGACAACATCAACACCATAGTCAAACTCATCCCATACTGGATTGAGCGTGTCGGGTGTCGCTGCACTCACGGCTCTTTCAGTGCGATTTCGGAGATCATCCAGTGTTGTGGAACCAACGCCGAACGCTCTGAGCTGTTGGAGCTTCACTGCCCACGAAAATCACACTGCACAGTTATGATGGATTCACTCATTGAAGTGGAGAACGCAGAACGCTTTCTGCTCAGGGGTCTCATCTCCCCTCAGACTGAAGGAGCCATCTTCCAATGACAGTCAGAAACTCTATGAGCCCCTCTTTCAGTTGGTATGTGATTGGTTCCTAGGAGCCTCATGGTTGTAAAAATATGGTGCTTTGAAATCAGATGAATCTTCTTGAGTCACTCTGTATGTCAAAAAATTAAAAACAACAGAAATGGAGATGCAAGCTTTTGTCCCAACAGCAACATTTTATTTTGTGTTAATCATATTGTAATATATTAATAAGTAAAACTAGGTAATGTGTGTACATTTGAATCTATGAACTGATCAGTGACTATTAAAAGTAGATCACATTTAGAAAAATAAAGGATTGTCTACCACTAACCAGTGAAACTTAAAAAGGTAAAAGGTCATTAAGGCGTCAGAGACTCTGGAATTAAAACTGTTTGTGAAGCTTCCACATTGATGTGCAACTTTGTAGTAAATATAAATCGTGTTTCCGAAAATTCCAAGAGTCTTTTTTTTGTCAAAGTTTAGAACTAGATATGGGTTCTAGAGCTATAGTGGTGCTAGAAAGTTTATGAACCCTTTAGAATTTTCTGTATTTCTGACCTAAAACTTCATCAGATTTTTCTGAAGAGTCCTAAATGTAAATAAAGAGAACCAAATCAAACAAATGAGACAAAAATATTAGACTTGATCATTTATTTATTTCGGAAAATTATCCAATATTATCTGTGAGGGGCAAAAGCATGTGAACCTTTGCTTTCAGTATCTGGTGTGACCCCCTTGTGCAGCAGTAACTGCAAATAAACGTTTCCGGTAACTGTTGATTAGTCCTGCACATTGGCTTGGTGGAACTTGAGCCCTCTGTACAAAACAGCTTCAGCTGGGTTTTCTCCCCTGAACTTCTTGTAGAAATATAATCCACAAATGGGCCTTGTGCTTCCACTCACTGTTCACTTTGTGAGGTGCCACCTACTTCATAGCTCCACTATATAAGTGTATAATTACAGACTGCAGCACATCTGTTACTGCACAGATTATCAGCTCCCCAACGCCCCCCCCACACATTCGTCACTGGTCAGTTTCTGACCACAGGACCGCTGTTGTCAGTGTCACTGCTAGATTTAGAGTTGACAGCTCCCAAAAACACCCTGGCAAAGAGTGGCTCTGGGATCAGAATCTGACTGTTGATGAAGCGTGAGAGGTTGGCTAACACACGCTGCACACTAGAAAGGTGGATCAACAAGAGAGGGGCTCTCTCTCTCTCTCTCTCTCTCTTTCTCTCTCTCTCTCTCTCTCTCTCTCTCTCTCTCTCTCTCTCTTTCTCTCTCTCTCTCTCTCTCTGTCTCTGTTGTTTGTCAGTCCTGTAAATCACACCACCTCTTTTTAGCTGGGTAATGTCTTACACCGTGCAGCATTATTATGATATTAATAGTCTCCAAATCTGTCTGCTTCCTCAGGGCTGGCAGCATTCTTTACGGCATTGACAGCATGCCAGATTTACGGCGGAAGCGGACCGTGCCTATCGTCAGGGACCTGGTGAGTTTTCTGCTCCTGGAAGGTTGTGTGTGATTGATAACGAGTGTGCTAGAAGGCCCCCTGCAGTCTGTAGAGCAGCACTGACCTACAGCGGTGCAGTGTACCTGCTGTAATAATAAACATGATAACTTTATAATAGGTAAAAATAGGTGTAAACTAGAACGGTCGCTAATATTTAAGGTCTATCTGGTTTTGATGAAAGAAGGAAATGGTATGCTGGCATGCTAAACTGGGGATGGCTAGTTATGCCAATATGTCTAGTATCTCACTCTCGAGTATGTCTTGTATCTTCACAAGAAAAAAACATATAGTCTCTCTCATTCAGATAACTGAGAAGCAGTGATGCTCTAAATGCAAATGGAATATCATTCCACCAGTGACACAGCCTGTCTGATAGAGTTCATTTAGAGTTCAAATGTTTGGGCACACCTTGTTCTCTTTTCAAACTGGAATTTTCTCAGTGTTACTCTCCAGTTTGTTGAGACAAAGTAGCTGCAAATAATAATAATAATAATAATAATAATAATAAAAATAATAATAATAAGCACTCTGCAGCTCCATACAGATGTTTTGGGTATAATTGTCTTCACCACTCAGCTTCATGTTCATCAAAGGATCATCAACTATTGTTTAAACACCTGCAGCCAGCTGCACCAGCTGAAAGTAAGTTTAATCGTAGCCTAGTTTGAACGAAATCTGCAGCTATGTTCAAGGTTACGAGCTATTAGAATTAAACCTGTCGCACCAAGTAAAATAGTTTCAACGTAGCTTTAAGTTATACATCAAAATTTACACGTGCCCTGTAGTAGATGTAAGTTCTGCCGTAAAAATCAGTTCAAATGGCTGGTCAATTTGATTGATGGGAAAACTTGCGAGAAAATGAGTCACACAACACAGACAGGAACAGAGCCCTGAATCCTACTTTACAAGTGTGTCTGGCACTGAGATGTTTTGCTACAAGGTTGTTCCAAAACCTGGTGGGCAACTGGTCATGTACACAAGTCAAATGCGTGCAGAGCAGCAGAACAGAATAAACACACATATAAGAGATGGACACTTTGAGGACACCACTTCACTGTAAAACACAGACTCTTTTGGAATTATAGCTAATAACACCGACACACCTTAAGAGAAGTAAATGCAGCACACGAAGAAAGAAATGCGAGTGATTTCACTGCGTGTGGAGATCATGCGTGTAATGTTTCCTGTTTCCTGTTTCCTGTTTATGTTACTGAATGGCTGCAGAGTGAAAACGTCATTCTGTGTGACAGTGTTTTGATCCACGATCACTTTACGCTCTACTATTTAAGATGTACCATAAGTGTCTGTGGTACAACCGAAATTCTGTGTGTCGCTAGTTTTAAACCACGACCGAACTTATGTTCAGCTGGTGCAACTGGCTGCTAGAACGTTTGAGTGCTGATGAATGCTGACGTCACAACACAACTCAAGTGGCTGCCCTTTGGCTTTATTACCGAACTAGAACTGTCACTAATATTGTCCCAAGTATTGACGTGTGATAGTTTTTGTCCAGTAAACTGTATAAATGTTTGAACAACCTTAGTGTCCCCAGGCTTTCGGTAACCCGCTTATAAAGCTTCTTTTTCAAACCCAAGGTCAGTTTACAGAAACAAAGAAAAAAAAACAAAAGCTCTACAGAAAAATATGAACAAGGTCAGAGTCAGCTACCTCAGGAGCCGCAAGGAGAATAAAGGAGAAAGAGTGAGTTGAGAAAAGAGGAAAGTTCTGAAAGTTTTAGAGAGCAGAATCAATGGGGCAGAGTGGGCCATGGTTTAGGTGAAAGACACTAAAAGATTGGCCTTCAGCAGCGGTCAGTCTGACGTTAGGTTGGAGTCCAGTGTCAGAGCTCTGGATGTGTAAGAGAAGATCAGCTAAATAGGGGGTGCTAGACCTTAAAGTCAACATAAAGGAAGGCAGTTTGGGTTGGAGTGCCAGGATCTAGTCCAGAAATGTTATTGTTTGATTTAACCCTTTGAAGTCACAGTTAATTCTATATTAAGTATATTTCATTTGTAGCTCATTGACACAAGCTTATCTCAGTTTCAGTGGTTTGTCCACTGACACTGAGCAGAGGAAAAATGAATTAACAAAGGAATAAACTTTGTCATCTGTGTCAGCATTTCACCGCTGCTAACGTTAACATGCAGTTCATGCCTCGAAGTTGGTGCTGCAGCCACTGTCAGAGGAACAGTTTTGATTTTCTCCCTAAAAGCTGTCAGTATTTGAGAGAGTGAGTGGTCAGTAAGGAGTAGATGTCCGTTCGGAGCTGGTGTTTGTGTAAAACACCTACAGTGGAGCTATGGACCCTAACGACCCAGTGCGCCCCTGCCAGCATGTGTGGGTCTTTAGCTTTTTTCCAACTTGTTTATTGTTAGTGAGCTTTTGCAAAAACCCCAGCAAACATGGCTAATCTAGTGTTCTGATTATAGTTATTTTCACCTCCGTTGATTTATCCCTCTGCAGATGTTAGCTGACGTTACTGTACTCTGATAGCTGTGAAGAAACTTTTCCACAAAGCATTTATATCCTTTATTTAGTTTGGACTCCCGCATTGTTATGCGTTTGGTTCTCCAGCCATTCCGGACACATCCTCAATCTCCAATCTTACAGTAGCATATTATTACTGCACCTTGCATTATTATGCAGTTTATTTAGCTGTATAATGTAAATTGAATGTATTGCAAAGCGACATCCATAGCTCTAGACTTCTAATCCTAAACTCTGCAGTGCTGTGACCCTCCAGGACCACCAAATTTTACAGCCCTGGTGTAGAGAAGGAGTGATGTGGTGGGACATGTATGTGATATGATGTAAAAGTCAGGATGTTTCTGGAACCTTCTATGTTAAATGAAGTTATTTTGGTTTGGCACGTCACAGTCACACGGTCGTAACTGTTCGTCTTGTCTTTAAATGTGTGTTCTTCATAACTTCACAAAAAGGAATTTCATAAAATCGCAGAAAGCGAATGGGTGTTTTTAAAGCATCTCTGTGGTTTGCTGTATGTTCTCCATGTTGTTTAGAGCCATTGACAACATTTTATAGAATTTTTCCAAGAGATGTTTTGTGATTTTTTTGGACTTTTTCCGTTTGTCTACGTGTGTTTTTAAATGTACATGATCGATTTTTAAGGCAAAGTGCTCTTTCTCAAATTAGTTCTCTGCAAATGTTTAATTCAGCATGAAAGGACAAAAATTGATGCTGTATTTGTCCATATCTTGCATGAAATTAAAAAACCAACACTGTCTTGGTAAGTATGGGTTACTGTTATGTTGTTTTTTGGGATTTTTGCGTGTTCTACATGCCATCCCCTCATTGGCCCATATTTATTATGGGGGATATTTTTCAGGGAGTTGTCAGATTTCCTGCAAGCCAAAAGCTGGAGATTGGGAGACTGAAGTGTGGAAAGCACCAAAAACAAACAAACAATCAAACCAACAAACAAGCAAACAGTGAAGCAAGCAAAACTGCGAAATGTTGACAACTCTACCCAAAAATATATCCGAGGACTTCATTGACTTCTGATTTAACTGTCCGTTTTCTTAAATCGTGTAAAAGTGGCGTGCAGCAGAAAATCCTTTTACAGTGCGGATGAAGTCAGTGCTATGTGACCGGGTATCCCATCATGCCTTTCTCCCCTGTCTCTGTCCCCAGTAGCTGTATGATTGCTTCAGGGCAAAAGTCCGTCACATGGGCCGGGCGTAGAGTTCACATCGAGTTGGGGCTGAATTTCCAAAACAAAGAGTTTTCTTGCACCTCTTAAAGCTGTTCTAGCTGTCAATCAGACGCATCCGTCCACTACCACTCCAGTGCATTGCCTGCAGCAACCCTCAGCCGCTCCAGTGCATGCTGTTCTCTCTGTACAAACTTACATAAACGCGCAGAGTTCATGTACAGGTCGGAACCCCCGCCCCCATCCCCCTCTGCTTTCAGGTGCCTTTACAAACCCGCACGTCTTTACCACGATTGGCTCGTAGTCCAGGCACTGGATGGTAAAGACTCGACTGATACTGTCAGCTGTCAGTGCATCTCCTCCTCCCTCCCTGCTGCGCTGCTCTACTGATCTCTCTCTCTCTCTCTGACTACCCCTGCTCTCTCTCTCTCTGACTACCTCTGCTCTCTCTCTCTCTGACTACCCCTGCTCTCTCTCTCTCTGACTACCCCTGCTCTCTCTCTCTCTGACTACCCCTGCTCTCTCTCTCTCTGACTACCCCTACTCTCTCTCTCTCTCTGACTACCCCTGCTCTCTCTCTCTCTGACTACCCCTGCTCTCTCTGACTACCCCTGCTCTCTCTCTCTCTGACTACTCCTGCTCTCTCTGACTACCCCTGCTCTCTCTCTCTCTGACTACCCCTGCTCTCTCTCTCTCTGACTACCCCTGCTCTCTCTGACTACCCCTGCTCTCTCTCTCTCTGACTACCCCTTCTCTCTCTGACTACCCCTGCTCTCTCTGACTACCCCTGCTCTCTCTCTCTCTCTGACTACCCCTTCTCTCTCTCTCTCTCTGACTACCCCTGCTCTCTCTGACTACTCCTTCTCTCTCTCTGACTACCCCTTCTCTCTCTCTCTCTCTGACTACCCCTGCTCTCTCTGACTACTCCTTCTCTCTCTCTCTCTCTGACTACCCCTGCTCTCTCTCTCTCTCTGACTACCCCTGCTCTCTCTGACTACCCCTGCTCTCTCTCTCTCTGACTACCCCTTCTCTCTCTCTCTCTCTGACTACCCCTGCTCTCTCTCTCTCTGACTACCCCTGCTCTCTCTCTCTCTGACTACTCCTGCTCTCTCTGACTACCCCTGCTCTCTCTCTCTCTGACTACCCCTGCTCTCTCTCTCTCTCTGACTACCCTCTCTCGCTCTCTCTCTCTCTGACTACCCCTGCTCTCTCTGACTACCCCTGCTCTCTCTCTCTCTGACTACCCCTTCTCTCTCTCTCTCTCTGACTACCCCTGCTCTCTCTCTCTCTGACTACCCCTGCTCTCTCTCTCTCTGACTACCCCTGCTCTCTCTGACTACCCCTGCTCTCTCTCTCTCTCTGACTACCCTCTCTCGCTCTCTCTCTCTCTGACTACCCCTTCTCTCTCTCTCTCTCTTTCTGACCACCCTCTCTCTCTCTCTCTCTGACTACCCCTTCTCTCTCTCTCTCTCTCTCTTTCTGACTACCCTCTCTCGCTCTCTCTGTCTGACTACTTTCTCTGTCTCTTTCTCTGACTACCCCTTCTCTCTCTCTCTCTCTCTGACTACCCCCTCCTCTCTCTCTCTGACTACCCCTTCTCTCTCTCTCTCTCTCTCTTTCTGACTACCCTCTCTCGCTCTCTCTGTCTGACTACTTTCTCTCTCTCTCTCTCTGACTACCCCCTCCTCTCTCTCTCTGACTACCCCTTCTCTCTTTCTCTCTCTCTCTGACTACCCCTGCTCTCTCTCTCTCTGACTACCCCTGCTCTCTCTCTCTCTCTGACTACCCCTTCTCTCTTTCTCTCTTTCTCTGACTACCCCCTCCTCTCTCTCTGACTACCCCTTCTCTCTTTCTCTCTTTCTCTGGCTACCCTCTCTCGCTCTCTCTGTCTGACTATTCTCTCTCTGTCACTTTCTCTCTCTTTTTCTCTGTCTACCCCTCCCGCTCCATCTCTGACTACTACCCTCTCTCTCTCTCTCTCTCTCTCTCTCTCTCTCTCTCTCTCTCTCTCTCTCACTCTTTCTCTTTCCTTTGCTCTCCTTTTTCTCGTTTTCTAGTGGTCTTCTTTCTTTCTTTCTTTTTCTTTCTTTCTTTCTTTCTTTCTTTCTTTCTTTCTTTCTTTCTTTTTCTCTGTCTCTCTGCCTCTCTCTCTCTCTCTCTGACTACCCCGTCTCTCTCTCGCCCTTTCTCTCTCCTTTGCTCTCTTTTTTGCGACTTTTTTGTGACTTCTCTTTCTTTTTTTCTTTCTTTCTTGCTTTTAAGAGAACTTCTTGTTTCTGTAGCTCTCTCTTTTTTCTCCCTCCTTTGTTCCTTTTTCTCACTCACTCTCTTTAGTGATTTGCTCTCTCTTTCTATCTCTATCTCTGTCTTTCTTTCTGTACCTCTAGCTCTCTCTCTCTCTCACTCTGTTTCATTTGCTCTTTTTTGTCACTCGTTAGTGATTTGTTCTCTCTCTCTTTGCTCCCTCGACCCCTAGCTCCCTCTATCTGTTTTGTCTCTCATTTCTTCTCCCTTTCCTTTTCTGCTTCTCTCTCTCTCTCTCTCTCTCTCTCTCTCTCTCTCTCTCCCCCTATCTCAGACTGCATTCATACTCTCCCATATTTAGGTGTGGTCAGTGTGCTGTAACTGACTTCACGGTGAAAGCGTGCATTGTGTCGTCGTCTGTTTGTAACAGTCGAATCTTGCAGAAGCGACAGACAGCAGAAATATTACCCAGCTGCTTATTTCTGAGATTATACCAGTAAAGAATAATTCATTATTGGCCAAAAAGTAAAAGCATGAGTGAAATTTGATTTGTAATGCATGAAGGCAGTAAATCACTTTAAGGACTGTTTTAAAGGAGCTACTTCAGAAATGCTCTTCCATAGTTTTCACTCTGCTCTTGAGAAACTATAACGTTATGAAAGTCGGCATGGCAGTAGATAAAGCTACAAATGCACTAAATGCTACAAAGCTCAGCCTGGACTGCTTTGCTTTGCTGATTTCTCTCTTTCATTCACTAATTGAGTCTTCTCTCTCCCTTTCTTCCACGCTGTCCTCCCCGACTCTGATCGACAAAGGCTTTGGTAAGTCTCCTTCTCTTTCTGCTCACGCTCCTCTAACATTCCTAATTGTGCTAATTGCTAACTTACTGCCTGTTAAGTTCAGAGTCACAAACTGATGAATTGAAAAAGTTGGCAATGTCCAGTTTAGCTTTGTGTGCCGATTGAAAAACTTTATTTGTTCCTTCACTAAAGCCGGGGTTACACTACACGACTTTTACCCCGATTTTAGCCCCATTCTCAGTCTGTCCGAGTCTGTGCTGGTCGGCTCTAGTCTGCAGATTTTTGGGTCAGTCTGAGTCGACAGTTGGGGAGAGAATCGAGTCGTGTGTGGGGGCGCAGACTCAGATTTTTGACCTCCTGGTTGCATTTTAGACCAGTCGGAGTTAATCAAACGTTTTTTTTAAACCCGATTTTGAGCGCAATCTAGTTTAAACTGATCAACAGTGCAATCTGAATGGATTCCTTCAACAGCCAATGAAAACTGAGAACACAAAAGAAGAAAATACAGCAAGGAAACGGAAAAATGGTGAAAAGTCACCCACTTCTGGAGTGAAGCTTTAAATTTAAGGCACAATCGAATTAATGTACATTTAAAACTCTAAAAAAAAACAACACCAATCAACTTTTTAAATCCATGAGCTTCACTTAAACATGTTTACCTGCTGCTTCTTTACTGTTTCAGCGCAAACAGCAGAGAAGACAGCAGCAGCAGCTCCACGTTTGTTTATTTGCATCTCCTAGTAACGGGAAAACGCAAGAGTTAGCGTGAGTTTGTGTGAGTTCAGTTAGTTCCGTTCAGTTCAGCAACGGCTTAAAAGTTGAGTATTGTGTGATCCTTAATTGCTTAGGGTGGGATCCCCAATATTTCAGTTGCCCACTTGGCTAGTGTGAGATGCCCAGTCGTTTATAAACTGTTAAGACTTTAAAAGGTGTGAGTTCACATGAGTTTGCTTGAGTTCACATGAGTTCACATGAGTTCACGTGAGTTCACTGAGTTCAGTTCTGTTTAGCAACAGCTTAAAATATGTGTAGTGTGTGATCCCTAATCGCTTAGGGTGGGATCCCCAATATTTTAGTCGCCCAAAAAACCTGCAAAAACCAGTTTAGTGTGAGACTGAATCTGTTAAGACTTTAAAAGTCGTGTAGTGAACCCAAGACTTAACAAAGCAGAGAAAGTTCATGATGTTAAAGTTTGGCCATAAAAAAATCAAATTTACATAGTTGTTCTCTCTGACCCCAAATGTAATCAATCAACCAAGACATATTTACGTTTGCACTAGAGCTATAAGATTAACGTAGCTAACAAGTAATGGAAGCTTATGCTCCACCAGCATCATACAAACCACACACCTTACATTTTCAGATACTGTATGATAAACTATTAATAAATATGGACAAATGTACAGGCAAAATTCAGGCTTCATGGTGGCTGCTGCTCTTTTTAGCTATGCGGTGTTTTTTAGTCCATATTTATGGATAACAGAAACCCCATAAGGAAGTCTATTAGAGATCACTCAAAACTCAGGCTTAAGTGAATAAAATTTCCTCTGAAAAATGGAAAGCACACTTTGCTGCTGCAGTCTGATAAGAACAATTTTCCAAAAAATGTTCAGCCTGTCTGTTTGGTTACCGGATTTATGGTTGAGCAGAGTGGTTTGCTCAGACAACCTGCTGCATTATTCAGCATTTCTACCTTTCAGAAGACGTGACTTCATTCAGCACAACAGTTCTGCTGCTTTTCTCAGCTGTTTAAAGGCTACATCACCCATCAGAAGTTTGGAGACACCTCGTGTTCTTGTGAAATTTCTTACTGTTGCTTGTTTGAATTGACAGCTTTCTTTTGAAACTCTTTTAGCGAAATGTGATTTAAACATCTGAGAGGTTTGAGTGCTGTTATCACAACAAGGGGAGAAAATGTTTAGCTCTGGCTTTTATTTCCAAAGTAGCACGCTTGATGATAGTAGTAGTTAAATCTTCTGCTTATGCTTAAGGATGGGAATTGACAAGGTTTTATTGATAGCGGTGCTGCTGTCCGTTCTGCTTATTGGTCTGATTCTTTATTGATTCCCTTATTGGTTCCTGATCAATTTTCTGTGTGGAAAAAAGTAGTGTTTTCAGCATCAGTGCAGCTCTTTTATTATCTCTGAGTTTGAGCACAGTGTAGAATGTCTGCCTAGTATCATTTGATGTTACATGACATGTTAAAATAAATCACAATATTTGTACAGCATTCAATTTCATTTAGGTCTTTTTAGTCAAAAAAAAGAATCTGTGACGCTAACATTACTATAACAGGATATTTACCCTCAGCTGGAACCGATTCTCAATTCCCATCCCTGTTGATACATGATTAGCAAAGCTGATTGACAGTTACGATGGTGCAGCAACAGAGAGGTACATAGTCAGAAGTAGCATTTAAAAAAATATTCAGCGTAAACCCTAAAGATTAGACCTAGGACACACTGCACATGTGCAGTTTGCAGTGTCTTGAGAAACAGATCTGACCCAGGCTGGACTGGAAGATTGGCGATGAAAAATGCTCCATTATGGAGCAGTTAGCAACCATAGCTAACCAAAAGCAGTAAAAACACAAATGTAAACATTATTATATCAGGTGATGTAATACTCAGGAGTTTGGGGTGACGTGTGTGTAGCTGCATTTAGCCAAGGAGCTAGCCAAGAACACACAAGTAAGTAAAGGTGAAATTAATCACAATATAACATTAATATTTCTCAGATGTGTAAAGCACACTCCTAATAGTCTATACCATGAGAAACAAGACAGTTCTTTAAAGTAGTCTGTTCTATAACACATTTTAGAACTGAACCCTTCATTTATTCATAGGGAGGACACTGAGCTGCCCTCTTAGAGGTCAGCATAACCAAAACAGTGAATGCAAAACTGAATGCAAAACTGTTCACCATGGTGAATTTCTTTAAAATGAATGACAAAAAGCTGCTGTGACAGGTTTTAATGTTATTTTCTCCAACATATTTATTATTAATATTATAATTTATGTGTTTAATATGACATGGAAAATGCCAATTTGAATTGAAAACGTTTGAGAAGCGGGTTGTATCCAAACGTCTGAAAGCCAGTGTGAATATTAGTTGAATGATTGAGCTTCTTTTTGTTTATATTAAGTGCTTTTCTCTCTGCAGACTTTGGCTGCTCGAAAGGCAGGCATTTCGTTTGCGCTCGTGACCAGATCCACCCTGAACAACGAGGATCTAGTAAGTGCTGTACACACACAACCCAAAAATCAGCCAATCACTGCTTAATGGAGACCATCCGTGTGTCACTAATGTAATGTACCATGCATAAAGACTCATCACAGACACCGTGAGAGAGGAAACAGCACACACACTCATGCGAATGCTCACATGCACTCATATGCGAGCACACACACGTGCAGTCACAGTCTAATGGCTTTCTCTTGCGTGCAAATTGCCACAGAATATTTATATTCAGCAGTCAGTGCACTGTTACGGCAGCATTTGCATGCAGCACAACACGGTCTCGCTCTGGTCAAGGTTTTGCTTACAGTACCTACAATGGGAAATGACCACATTTAACACAGCGTATAGTGCTGTGCGGAAGTCAGAGACTATCCTTCATTTATTTAATTTCCAGTCAAAATTGTTGTTAAGTTCAAATTATTTGTGTTTTTAGAGGATATTTCTGAGGAGTACATATGCATAAGGATGCATAACCCAGGTGAAAAACAGGACTTTCCAGAACTGAAGTTCAAAGTTATTATAATATATAAAGAAAATGGAACCACCTGCAAGACTTGGTAGACCACCAAAACTGTCCCCATCAGACAGACAGCACTTGAAGAGTTAATTTACAAAAAAATACTCCATCCCTTTAAAAAACAAGCTCACTGTGGTAAGTTAGTCTTAACACACAGCGTATTCTGAACCTCAAATATTTTATATCACAAAAGCCGTTATTGTCCACTGTCAGGGTATTGCAAGTTCACATTTCACAGCAGAAATGGTCAAACGCCGGCGCTGTTCATCAACAGAAGCCGAAAAGCAGTTCAGCCAAAACAGCACACACTGCCGCCAACCGTTTTAGGCAGAATCTCAAACAGCTCTCTCTACAACAGCTCTCTCACTACAAAGTGCAGCTCGTAAGTCTTAAAATAAAAGCTACTGCATCTAAACAGAGCTCAGTGTGTCTAACAGAGAACCACTGTGGATTCAGCCATGTGTGAACAATTTTAATTGGACATAATGTGCAATATTGAGTGTTATAGCTAAAATTTCATAACTCACATAGTGCACTATACAGGGAGCAGTGAGCCATTTGACATTCAGCCTTAGGATTTTTCGAGGTCTGATCCTGTAGATGTTTAATATTGACCATTAATGGGCTTTGTTACATGGCTTTGTTTGATTCTGAAACATGAAATGATCGTTGGAGTTATCTGCTTTCCCCAAAAAACAGAACAAAACAAAACAAAAAATACAAATTTAAGTTTAAGAGTTATTTTTACTTCATCAAAACAACCCAACAGCAGTTGATTGATATTACCTGGAATGCACAATAAAAAAAACATGATTTATAACAATTCATTATAATGTATGTATTTGTTTTTGCAAATAAACTCTTCACTTAAAGCTTTCGTCTTTGAGAGAGAGGAGAAAATCAAGCTCCGCTCTTGCTTTAAATCTGAAAAAATGCAATGGTGTTTCTGTCCAAGTTCTGAGATTACTTGCTTGGTGAGAAGTAGAAACTAACTTCTAAGACTGAACCTTGAAGCTGTGGAAAAAATATCTTTGAAAAGATTGGAAGCTGTAAGAAAGTCAAAGGATGGACACACTAAATACTGAAAAAATTGACATCATATTTAGTTGTTGACCCTTCTGTGTATTTGTATGTCAAATATATGTCTGTGTTTTGTTCTTATGCTAAAAAAATGAATACCTTGTACTTAATGGCAAATGAAATAAACGTAAGGGTGGCCTCTGACTTTTTACACACTTGGGTTTACAGTCTTCACTTTCTATTCAAAATATGTCATCATCTTGATTATGGGAAGAAACTTCCAAAACAGTGGAGTACAGAGCATGAATCAGTACAGTGTTTTATTAGTATGACCAAGTTTTGCCTGTGTAGCAGTGACTCATCATGCAACAGGAGTCAGTATATACACCCAAAAGAGGACGTGCTGAAGCCGCAGGTCTATTTAGCTTGTAGAGTACACTTCCTATAAAGCCAAATATGACACTTAAAGCATCTCCACAGTGCATCCACTTGAGTCCAGTGCACTTACTGTGCTCATATATCTGAGCAGTAAAGGAAGGCTGCAAGCTTTTTGGTTTGTAGCTTTATTTGCTCAGGCTTCGGTGATTCCACTTTTAATTATAGCGCAGCACTTTGGTTTCTGCGGTAAAGCCAGTGCCGTGAGAGAAGGATGAGAGTGCCTTAATCAATGAAGGGAGAATTACTCCTCCTTTCTGCTGACCTCCATCCCTTGCTCTCAGCATTAATTGATCGGCGTCAGATGAATCAGATGAATAAATAAGGCGGAGAGAGTGAAGCGATGTAAATAGCTTGGTAAAGTCATTTCTGAGAGTGGGAGCAGGAGTGGGAAAAGTCACCTGACAGAGCTCCTGTTGATGAAGGCTGTAGATAGGGTGGGTGTTTTCAGGGTTCATTTGGACTGGATGGCATATCTGGGTTTATTTGGTGTGAACGAGCGTTTGAGGGTTTGCTCAGACTGGACGCACATTTTTAGAGGTTGTTTGGACTGAGCAGGTGTTTCAGAGTTCACTTCAGTTTGGTTATTTGTATTGGATGAGTTTTTCAAAGTTGTCGGGACACATTTCTGGGTTTATTTGGGCTGAGTAGGTTTGATTCTTCAGAGTATTAGACGTGTGTATAAAATGGACCCTTTAAAAGTGTGAAACTGATTTAACTGCAGTGTTGCATAACTAGGAGATCCATCTATAGCATCAAAATACGGAATACAAAATACTAATACAAAATATCCTACATATAGCTCTATATCATATTCTAGAATCACAATGAGAATTCTAGAACCGCACTAAAAAGTCTTATATCACATCGAATGCTTTAAAGCCATACTGTGCATTGTATTACTACACTGAGAACTCTGGAACCGTATTGTAAATTCTAGGAACACACTGAGAATTCTAGAACAAGGCTGAGAATTCTGAAGCCACAGTGAGAACTGGAAAACGACAGAAGGAAGCCTAGAACCACATTGAGAATTCTGAATGTTCTAGAAGCACACAGAGCGTGAGAATTCTATAACCACAATGAGAATTCAGAATAGTCTAGATGCACACAGAGCATTATAGGATGGCTCTGAGGGTTCTAAAACCACAATGAGAATTGGAGAATGTCAGAGAATTTTAGAATAACATTGAGAATTCTGAATATTCTAGAAGTACACAGAGAATTCCAAAAACACAATGAGAATTCTAAACCCACAGAGAGAATTCTAGAACCACCCTTACGAATTCTAAAATCACACTGAATATTTTAAAGCCACTCAGAGCAGTATAGAACCACACTGAAAATTCCAGAAACACACAGTAAATTCTAGCTTTGAGAATTCTAGAACAAAGCAGAGAATTCTGAAATCACAGTGAGAATTGGAGACTGCCAGAGGGAATTCTAGAACCACACTTAGAATTCAAGAACTACTGAGATAATTCTAGAACCACACTAAGAATTCTAAAATCACACTGAATATTTTAAAGCCACACAGGACATTATAGAACTACGCTGAGATTTCTGGAGCCGCACGTAGAAATCAAGAGTAACATTGTAAATGCTAGGACCATGTTAAGAATTCTAGAACAAAGCTGAGAATTCTAAAACTACAGTGAGAATTGGAGAACGCCAGTGAGAATTCTAGAACCACACTGAGAATTCTAAATATTCTAGAGACACTGAAAATTCTTGAGCCACAGTGAGAATTTTAGAACCGCAGAGAGAATTCTAGAACCACTCTTAAGAATTCTAAAATCACACTGAATATTTTAAAGCCACACAGAGCAATATAGAGCCACACTGAGAATTCCAGAAACACACAGTAAATTCTAGCTTAGTGTTGAGAATTCTAGAACAAAGCAGTGAGTTCTAAAATCACAGTAAGAATTGTCAGAGAATGCCAGAGAGAATTCTAGAACCACAGTGAAAATTGGAGAATGCCAGAGAGAATTCTAGAACACCAGTGAGAATTCAGCATATTCTAGAAGTACATGGAGCGTCATAGGAAGACACTGAGATTTCTAGAACCACAGAGAGAATTCTAAAACCGCACTGAGAATTCTAGAAGCAGACTCAATCTTGCAAAGTCACACCTAGAGCACTGATCCATAATTACAAAAAGCTCCTGCTAAGGAATGGGATACTGCTTATTCCGAGAAGGAGAAGAGAAGAGGGGCTGTTCTTAACAAGCCTGGTATCAGTTTGGCTTTAATGAACAGCACATGGTCAGAAATCATGGCTGCGGTTTAATATGAAAGTGTAGGGTAATGGTAGGAGGCTCAGGTGACTGCTGAGGTACACTGGAGTCCCCCGAACTGTTACTGTACAGTAAATAAGCTACACACAACTAAGAGAGAGGAGTTTACAGCAGCAGTTTGTAAGTAGGCTAAACAGATGTTGGAGCATTATCCAGTACACACAGAAAAAAAGAGAGAGAAAGAGAGGGAGCGAGAGATCCCCTTAGAGAGAGCTCAGACTGCAGTCACAGCCATATGCTGAACACGGAAGCCAGTAGGGACAGGAAAGTGTTCGGTTCAGTCTCACAGCACCGCAAAGCGTTTATAGCTTCAACAGCTTCTACAAAAGCACTTAATTCCGCCGATCACGGACCTGACGTTTTGCGATCAATTCATCGTTTACAGATGAGTGATTAGAGCCACGGTGATTTGATGCGGGTGAATAACTCTTGAACTCCTGCTGAGATGATTCTAGTTGTTTAAAGTCTGGTCGGGTTGACAGCACTCTGTCTAATGCGCTGCGGTTCAGGATCGTTGTTGATTGTTTTCTACATAATTTGAACACAGCTGCTGAGAATTTTCTATATTTCTGCATACATTTGATCTAAAGTCCTAATAGTAGATAAAGAGAACCAAATTAAGTCTGGTATCTGGTGTGACCCCCTCATGCAGCAATAACTGCTACTAAACATTTCTGGTAACTGTTGATTAGTCCTGCACATCGGCTTGGTGGAGTTTTAGCC